AGAACCAAGGACAAAAGTGAAGCGAAAAATCGATGAAGTTTTGCATCATACTAGTCGATACAGGCAAATCACGTGGTGGCGTTTATTGCAATAATCAATCTGAACGGAAGCCTTGGACCAGCATCAAACACTGTGTACATACTCGACCTATGGTCACGCAGTAGACGGACACTGAACATAGCCCTAATTTCTAATTTTGCAAGAGGACAACAAATTCCGAAAACGTCACGACCGGAGGATAGCGTCTTAGCACTGAAACCGACAATTCTATATATTCAGCAAAAGCCAAGTATTTGCTTTGTTGAATGTGTCAGATTTCATTCATCTCATATGAACAACAGCATGATCGTATAACAAAAGTCGATTTATATTTCGAAGCCGGCACAAAGGGTCATGGTCCTGCTTTTTTAGTCCGAGAGCATAGCGCAGCCCTATGGAAATTGATGTAAAACGCATCCGAAGAACACACTTTCGAGTCAAGATCAACGAATGTGTTCTATTCTATCAATCCTAAAAAGCCACGCCGCCGCCAACAAGGGAAAGATGCAATAGCCCTAACAAATCCAGCGTCGCGACGCCAGCCTAGTCGAATTCGCCAGCCTAGTCGAATTCGCTAACTAGTCGAGTAGAAGTACAACTTGACCTCGACGTCAGCGACGTCACTCACTCTGTCCACAAGTTCACCGACGAAATTAACAGCCTGTCGCACCGAATATCACCGTACGGTAAATCCAAAATGCAGCGTACCATGGAATGATGGTTTTCAAATTTCAGCAAATTTTAATTTATTTTTGTTTTCAATAGGTAATCTATTTTGTTAATATTATCATTTTTCAAGTGGTTCAATTTTTTTGAGTTAAAAGGTTTTCGTTGGCAAGGTTAATATTTTATTATATAATTTAGGTTTTTAATTAAGTATCTTATATTCATTCAATTATAGGGAAATGTATACTTAGGGACATCAAATAAATATTTTTTTGTATAAGCTAATTTTTTTTTTGTATTGTTTTTCTTTTTGTAAAGATTCAATTTTTTTCCATTCAATTACTCTCTTCTTACTTTGAAATGTTTAAAATGTTTATTTTATATATATATTTTTTTTTATTGTTTAAATTTTTTTTTTTTTTTTTATTTATTTATTTTTTTAACATTTTCAGCTGGGGTCCAGCTTTCTGTAGCGCGGGGCAAATGTCAAGCCAAAGAATAACACCCATTATAATATGTATTAATTATATTATAATTCGAAAGTTCATTGACATGTATTGTTCTAATTTAGTTTCCTGTACAACAGGATAAACGATTATTACCAATATTGGGCAATACTGGCATTGCAATGAATTATTAGACGCATCAGCATATCAGCAAAAACTTGGTGCAACGACCCAAGTTTGAGAAATCAATAATTTCTTGCTGACAAAAGGAAATCGACTTGGATCAATAATTCGGTTTTCCTAGTCAGTTGGGTTTTAAAGCTGAAGCAAATAACAAAGCTTGAGCCGGGTTATCGGGCGCGAAAAAGTTAAAGTTGTAACGGTACAGAAAGATGGATTTCCAGCGGTAAGTCAAGTTTAATTTGTAAACTCATCATTCTAAATTTATAAAATTATTCATGTTACTTTCCCCTATTTCATTATTGTACATTTTATTTTGTAAGTAATAAACAGGCATTTTTATTTTACATTTGGTTTTCATTTTGGACTGGATCCCGAGTCCCCAGTCACGACAAAACAGGTTGTGACAATATCGTATTTTTTTAGCATCATATTTTCTGTTTCTAGCTGTCCTAATTTATATACTAGTTTGGTAACCATACTATGCAATTGAAAGCAGCTCATTTACCGTGAAATCATTTTCTTCAAACTGTGCTTTTTCCGAGAATGTGCCAATGTTTTCCAAGGCTTCCAAGGCTAATTCTATAAGATGGTGACTTGAGTTTGATGTTTGATCCTTCTGGTATATTTGTGCAGTGGCGCAACTATTTTCTTGGGTATGGCTGAGTCTGATTTCTGCACAGTGTTTAGGAATTTTTTGCCGATCATAGTCAAGACTAGGAGGACTGGAATCAGACCTTGGCCTTTTCTGTACACTTCCCCCATCAGCGTTTCCTTTTGGCGGCGTTCTGGCAATTGATTTTCTCGCCATGTGTCCCATGTGAATATCCATGTATTTAATATTTCCAGTATTTGAATTGGTATAGTTCTTATCGGTTGTCCCCTGTAAATCGATGTCCAATTTGTTTATTTGCCCTTGAGTTGTATTTTTGCCCGCGCCGGGATCCTTATCAGTGTTTACCTGTATGGAATTATCTTTTTTTGCAGGTCCAATGCCGATGATTTTATTTATTTGTGCTTTCGATAGATTATTTGCTTCCACTGAAAGGCTTCTTATTTCCTGCTGTGTAATGTTTTTTGACTCTTTTTTTGCGTCATCACTGCACCCACCACTTTCATCACTCATCTTGTTTTTGTTCGAAATTTTTTCGTTAATTTAACCGAAATAAACGACTTTTACACGGAGCGATATACAACGATGCGTTTAGTACTTGGATAGTAGCCCATAACATAAAATATTCATCCAAAATAGTAACTGACCCATATTTTTGAAAAAAAAATACCATATCATACCATACCATACCAAAGACTACCATGTTTGAATTTTTTTTTTTTTTGTTCAACCATGTCTGTGTGAAATTCTTATACATGTTCCGTAGGCCAGGCACCCCCATTAGCCTGTATTTACAACGAATATACTCGTACTTGACTTTGAACGACACGAGGCAAAATACGAGTTATCTCGTAGCTGGTACCTGTAATAAGATTGTCTTCTACGAGTTAACTCGTACTTGGCAGTGAACGTGTTAAACGGGTTACTGTTTTTAAATAAAACATACACCAAAAAATCGGCCAATTATTTATGAGTATTTGCTGTATGGCTTGTGGTGGATTCGCTTTACTGTTCAGTAAAAAAAAATAATTTCCAAAACATCTTTTTTCAAGGTCATTCAACTTTAGAGCACCACCCCGACTAAAGGGTAGGTGATAGACATATGCTGTCACTGAATAAATTGTAAAGAATTTGGTCCTCTTTAATTTGCTAAGAGAGTTTTTTTTTGTAAAACTCAGCAGAAGTGCCACGTTTCGGAAAAACCACAAAAAAAAACACCTTTAGGGGGATGAAAGGGGATGTTCCAGGGTGAAATTTTGTTGGAAAAAGTTAGACCCATAATAAGCAGCCCTTGTCCTACCAGAAAAAAAATAAAACAGAACTAGTGTCGAGTTTGCGAGGTTCAACCTCTCTTTCCTGGCCTATGTCTATATCCTACTGATTTGGTGAACCATTCTACCTGTACAGGGTGCTGCAATTTGGAGTGTTTCAACAGCAAAAACATACTTCCAGACCAGAAAGAGGAAAATTAACTTAGATGTCATGGGATTGATTTTGGAGAAACGTCGATTGTCAAAAACCGTATCGCGATATCTTTAATGGTCGCGTTCCTAAGCACTCAACATGTTGAGTGATTAGTAAGCGGCTTTGTTCCAGCTAGTGAAATGCACAAGAGAAAAGTTTTGATTGGCCTAGAGCCAGAGCTGGGCAAAGCCCTCAGTAAAAGGGCTTGAAGCACTAAGCCCTAAGCCCTCTATCAAAGTGCTTCAATTTCAAGCACAAATTCCTTTTTATTTTTAAAAGTGCTTCACAAGCACAAAGCCCTCAAAGTGCTTTGGGCTTGACAAGCACAAAGCCCTCAAAGTGATTTGAAAAGTGCTTGAAGCACATCAAAAGTGCTTGAGGTGCCTTGAAAAGGGCTTCAAGCTCTTTAAATGTGCTTCAAGCTCTTTAAATGTACTTGAAGCTCTTTAAATGTGCCTAAAGCACTTTGAATTTGTAATAAAATTCTCAAAGTGGCATAAGCTACCATGTAAACTCATCACACAGAATTGGTATAGTAGAGACGAACTTTACATTTCACAGAGTAGCAGTAGTATGTTTTTTTTTGAGATGTAGTTCTGGGGTAGGTACTTGGGGTACTACATGGTACTTCAATTTTAAGGTTTTCAAAATGTTCAATGGGGAAAAGTGGAAAAAATCCAGTGATAAAGTTAAATAGGGTACCAATATAAATTAATTATTTATTTTAATAATAAGTTCATTCATTTTTTTTTTAAATTCCATTCTAAGCTCGAACCCAAAACCTCCATTGTTAAGAGAGAAAAGACATAAGACGGTTCAAGTTCAAATAAAAGAAAAAAAAATTAAGGGACAAAACACGATCGAAAATTTTTAAGTGGGAGGTTGAATGATGGTCAATTCAAATTCCTTTCAAAGTGCTTCAAGCCCTTTTAAAGTGCTTCAAGCCCTTTTAAAGTGCTTCAAGCCCTTTCAAAGTGCTTCAAGCTCCCAAAAGTGCTTCAAGCCCTCTTAAAGGGCTTCAAGCCCTTTCAAAGGGCTTCAAGGTCCCAAAAGTGCTTCAAGCCCTCTAAAAGTAATTGAAGCTCATTGAAAGGGCTTGAATTACTTTTTTCAATTACAAATTACCAAGCACTTTTCTAAAGTAATTGACTTTGCAAGCCCCAATTACAAATCTATAAAAGGGCTTGAAGCACAGGGCTTTCAAGCCCTCAAAGTGCTTCAAGCACTTTGGCAAGCACAAAGCACTCAAGCCCTGCTCAGCTCTGCCTAGAGCTCATTTTTATCTGTTTTCAACATAGCCGCTGACTAATCACTCAACAAGTTGAGTCCTTAGGAACGCAACCAATGGTACCATAAATACAGGGTGATTTTCGATTACCCCCTATTATGAAAAATTACATATAATATATTTTCGTAATCAAAGCAATTTTCGATTGGTTTTTTTTTTTGGAGACCCGATACATTCTGCCATAAAATTCTATGTATACTTTTTGCTTTTAAATTATTACATCTTACCTTGCACATCAGTTCTGCATTTTGGAATTTGAAAACAAATAATAAACCATATAAAAAACGGAAAAAAAATAACTCACATAGAGGAATGCCTTTTGGTAATTGGTCTTGCCCAATTTCTTTTGACGTCCTTCTTGGCTTCTTCCATTGTATATTCTCCAAAACACACATCATCGTCTGACGATTCTTCAGGAGATTCACATTCAGCCTCTACATAAAAAGAACCTAGAGAGTTTTGTGCTTGGTCCTTAGCTGGATCTCGCCAAGCAGCCAACTCCTGATTTTGTCCGTCTTCAGATGGGCCACTACTAACATCGTTTTTGGCAGAGAAAAACGACATTTTGTCTTTAAATTTGTTGACTAAAAATGAGAAAAATGTTATGAAAATTAGCATGGTTTCTGATTTGATTTGACAATGATTAGATAGATTGATAGATATTCAATAATTTACCCGAGAATTTACCTGTCGATAGTTGATTGAGCTGGTTCGTTTCTTTATTTTGGTGGTTTATTAGATTCACAATCCCCAACTATTTAAATGTAAAGGCCAAGCAAGCAGCATTCGATTTTTGTATTCGGTCTGTTTCACTGAGGTGAGGACTGAGGATTAGTGAGGAAGTGAAGAATATATTTTTTTTTGTTTGGTTTGACGGTTTGACCGTTAAGTTCAAAATGGCTGTTAGGTTAGCTCGATTGGTCAAGAATTGACAGGACGCCAAAAAAAGGTAGATTAGACACGTTCGAAAACATTTGCTCACTCCATGTACTCGATTGGATACTCCGACCATTCGAGTATTTAGAATGGCTTTTTGGCTTGGGAGTAACTTGAATAAGTTCACGTTCAGTTATACGGAGTCAAGTATAAATGGAACTCACTCCACAAATTCAACCTTGAAAGGACTGAGAGACGATGTTGTTAAAATGCTTGGATAAAATGCATTCCACATATAAAGTCTGTTTTTTTTTTAAAGATAATTCCCCAAGTCAAAAATTTAGTATAGGTTTTTCACGTTATATTTAGGATGACGTCAGGGAGGACTGACAATATTGTCAATGTCTATTTGTTTTCTTATCATTTACAGAATGTCATAGTGAATAGACCTATCTATTTTTACCTGGTATGCGCGCGCAACACGAGGCAATGTCTTTTTATTGGCTAGCTAATACAGGTGTGAGGTGATCGTTTTGCACGCTGGGCATCCCTTTATCCTTGTTCATTGCACGTGGTCTGACAAGAATAAATCTAAAGTTGAGATTCAACTTGACAAGTGTCATTCAAAAGTTGTTTGACATTTTCATTGACAAATGCGTTGCACAACACGCGGTTTTTCTCCTTTCCTTTTTATCTTGCGCAAATAAGAAGGACGGATTGCTATACGTAAGTCTATCATAATTTGGTACGTTTTGCCTCGTCTTGCGCAATGAGCGTTCTGTGTCTTTTTTTATTGAATGAAGTTTTCGTATTATTACCTCTTTGTCTGGTAAAATAGATAGGTCTATTATCAAGACCCCGGACAGCTAAAAATAACGAAATGAATCGACACGCGTAATTTATTTGAAAATATTCATTTAAGGGCGGGTAGATTATAAAACTACTTTGAGAGTTAACTTCTGGAATTACATGTAATTCAAAAAGTTAACTTAAAGTTAACTTCTGCAATAACATGTAATTCAAAAAGTTGACTTCAAGTTAACTGTCAAAGCAGTTTTATAATACCCGCCCTAAATCATACAACATCGCGCGCCGCCGTTGCCAACCAGAAACATCTAAAATTCCCCTACTTTAAATGCGTTGAGAAGTACTTTTAGTTTTGTTAGATTTGCAGCAGAAATTTACTAAATGTGACGTCATCCTAAACATAGCGTGAAAATCCTATAACTATGTTGGCAACACAAACCTTTTCTACATAAAAAATTTGAAAGCATTGACAATTTTACATTGCATTGCCAACATAATGTCATTTTGACTTTTATCTTAAAAAAAAAAACATATTTTAGTTGTATTCCTTTCAAGAGTTTAAAACACTAGAGCTACTCGCTTTGGTGTGTTCCGAAGCTCCTCCTAGGTGTGGAAGGAATACAACTATTGCGAATCAAAGCTGCCATTTATTCTTAGTTCATAGTTCTGACGTCACAACTCGGAATTTCTGATTTACTACGTCATAATTCGGAATTTCTGATTTACTACGTCGTAACACGGAAATGCTCATTTATTGCTAGTTGGTCGTTTGGTGAAAATTGAAAATATAATAGTACAAGTATATAGTAGTACTCATAACAGCAAAATTCGCACTTTTTTGACACTGATTCGACAATTTGACGTTTTATGCATGAATCAAACGTCAAATTGTCGGAGCAATGTCAAAAAAGAGCGAATTTCGCGGTTATGAGTACTAGGCTTTAGTCTGTTGCGCTCGCACTCCCATCGAGCATCATCATGACTAGTTGTATTCCTTTCACACCTAGGAGGAGCTCCGGAACAGCTGCGGGGCTTCACGCGCTTATTCCTTTCGAAAAGTGTTTGTTGCACCACGCCCTGCAAATCGGCTACTAAACACCGGAACGAGTAGCTCGAGTGTTTCAAACTCTTGAAAGGAATACAACATTGGCATTCCAGGTCACGTGACTTTTGACAGGTCCGAGATATTAGCTGGGGCGCGTTCACAGTGGTTTTCCCTGGGTAAAACTTAACCAGGTTAAATATTTCACTGGTTGAAAAGGATGGGCTTGGGATGACAAATCCGTGAACGACTAACGCCTGCGCCATAACGAGGTAGGATTTGATTTTGTTTTCCTTTTGTTTACATGGGCGCGTTCAGATTGAAGAGTCTGGGCGACGTCCAGTGCAGAGCGTACCCGATAGAGGGTGCAACTCCGAGTGTGCTTGGCGATTCGCCCAATCTGAACGGCCAAGACGCATTCTCTCCTCATAACATCACTATTTATGGGATGCTTTGATTTTGATTTTGTTGCCTTTCCAAAATTCACTGTGTTCGTGATTCTAACATTTTTGTAAAATAAGAAAAAAGAAAATTCAAAAATAATCAACTCTTATTTTATTTTATTTTGATTTTTTTGGTAGTGTTAACACATAAAAGCTTCAATAGCTCATTTTTACCCGAGAGGTTATGTAATAGAAAATAATTACGAAACACCGGGTTGTTCTTAATAAAAGTGGACTGTATTAACTTTTCAAAACATTACGATGACAATCGGCAATAAACAAAGTTACATTTTTTATTTATTGTCTGTATTTTGTGCAATAGCAATTTCTTGCTAATTAATTAAAATTTTGACGCGACTTCGCGACGCCGCTTCTTCAATACGGCGGGTAGCACAGTACCTATTTATGCGATAGCCAACTCACCACTGCCCTAGGAATTTATACAGAAATGGCGCTTCCCTTAAAATATCTACGTGTGGACGAGTCCATTATTGGAATTTGGGGGGAAGAAGCATATTAAAAACTTGTTCCTTCTTGTGGGTTTTTTTATGTTTTGGGAGAATTGATATTGCACCAATACTTGTAACCAATACAATAAGGATAGATTGCACCATAATATAAATAATAATATAAAAATCAGGAATAATTATTAGAAAATCCAACAGGTAGAACTATCACATATAAAATAATACCTCTTAACCCTTAATTCTTATTTTAATTTATTTCCTATTTTATTTTATTTGTTGGATAAACTCGCCATAACTCCCAACAATAATATTTACAATATTTGCCTTTATTATTGGTTAGAACATAAACATAACACAAACACGCGCATGCGGGGCAAATTTTATCTTACTATTTTATGGGATGCAAAAGTGTGCGTCGGGGTGTCGTCAGGTAAAAATCTACTGACAATCTGAACGGCTGGGTAAATTTTACCCAAAGCAATCTGAACGGTCAGAGCGCGCTCGGGCGACAACCGACGTTCAATCTGAACGCAGCCCATATGTTGTGTTTCGAATGTTTCGAGATGGATCCGGGAATAATATTTTTTAAAAGTACTATTGAAACTTCTTCGGATTCGTCTGATACAGAGGAAGAAGTCAGCTATGCTGTAGCACAAGTTGCATGTGCTAGCGCTAGCAGTTTATGTTCAAGCCTGAAAAAAGGCATATTGAAAGACAGGATAATTTTATGGCAACAATACGCAATTATAGCGATAAGGAGTTTCAGGAAAATTTTAGAGTTTCCAGAGAAGCTTTCAACTGGCTTCCTGGCAAATTTGAAAACCAGTTGAAGTCAGCAATGGCAGCAATGCATGGCCCAGAAAGATTACCAACAGTATTGTTTATCAAATTTCACATATTCTTGTAAAACGCCTGCGCGACAAATTTTACCCATGTCTCAGTGTGGGTTAAAAAGTTGTACAACCGGGTAAACTTATCATGGCTCTGTGAACGGAGCAAATATTTTAACCGGGTGAATTAGGTAGATCCGTGAACGACTTAACCCTGCAAAAGACGCGCTCGGTGTGCACTCGGTGAGCGTCCGGCGTTCGACTGTGAACTCACTCCTGAGGGGCAAACAAAGCCTATAGATCATATTGGGTACATTCAGGCGGTCCCAGCGGCTAAGCTCAGCCACTCAGCAGGGACTTTATTCTCGAAACCAAGGAACAGCGTTCTCAAAAAAACGATTGCTCTGTCATTGTTAGTGTTAGGCCGGACGACAAAGACAGAACCTTCGTTCCAATGAGAACGCTGCTTCCCTGTTTCGAGAATAAAGTTCCTGCTGAGTGGCTGAACTAAGCCGCTGGCACCGCCTGAATGCACCCATTAGTTGTATTCCTTTCAAGAGCTTGAAACACTCGAGCTATTCGCTTCGGTGCTTAGTCGCCCCCGATTTGCAGGGAACATATGCGTGGTGCAACAAACACTTTTCGAAAGGAATAAGCGCGTGAAGCCCCGGAGCTGTTCCGGAGCTCCTCCTAGGTGTGAAAGGAATACAACTATTGTTTACAGTAGTGGCTGTTTTCGATTCGCTTTGGTCCGTCATCAAGGCAAACCAAATTAGAACCAACCATTTTCGATTGCAAACCGGTGACGTGACAGGCATCGCTTGGTCCGTCTAAATTCGAACGCTTCGCAAGTTGGTTCGAATTTTGGTTTGAATTTCGGTTTGCTTTTATAACCTTAAAACATGGCGCCTTTTTTGACAGACCAAATTCAAAAGATGTCAACCAACTTCTGTCACATCCGAACCAACCAAGGCCGAACCCGAACCGATTGCGAATCGAAAACGGCCAGTGTTTTTTGACTTTGTGCACAAGCGTCTGCGGATCACACGGAGGCAACGCCACGAATATGGTCGAAAGTGTACGAACGAAACTTTTAAAATTTGGCGGGACGCAACAAACGGCGGCTCACTAGCATTTTTGTTTACCGTCTCTTTATTTATTTGACACAAAATTATTAATTATATTTCGATAGTTTTTCTTATTATCAATGACATGAAAGGGAGTTTTCGAGAAAGTCTCACTTAAAAAAACACATGGAAAACACAATTCACAACAAAAATACATCTACAAAAATAATGAAGTCCATAAGATGCCCACGAAACTGTGATTTTATTACCGACAGCAAAGACATTATTGCTTTGCATATTACAAAAATTTTCACGGTAACAACTTAGACCC